GCTGCCGTGAGCTGCAGTGAGCCGCTGTGAGTGGCCGTCCAATGGCCTGCGAGCGACTGCCTCAGCTGGGAAGAGTGCAATGATAATACCAACATGAGCCAGTGAAGCGACGTCCTCCACAACTAGACTGAAGAATAAAAGGACAGCAACTTGTCTGTTCCCCTTCCCTGATTCCCCAACGCTGTCCCCCCCCCCCACAATTCCCCAGTAAAGTCTTTAAAAAAACAAAAACAAAAACAAAAAACAAGGCCGGTCCCAGCAGCATCCCTGGCTTCTTTCTCCAAGGCTGGACTGGGGAATGCTCCCTGGACTTGGAAAGCCCTGTAGTAGCCACTGTGAGAATACATGCATTTTAAAGTATGTAAATTGGAAAGGTAGAAAGCTTCATTCTTTCTAATGACCCCCAAAATGCTAATCTGGCTTTTCAAATCTCTAGGAAAACAGATTGAATATGGCGTAATTAATGTTTCAGCACTTCCAGGCTTTTCTCTAAAATATTTTAATGGACTTATAATTTATGGCAGCTCCTGATTCTCAGGGTTGAGGCAGAGCCGCAGCCGAGCCCCTGGGCCAAGGTGCTCCTCGGGCTCTTGTGCAGTGGAAAAGGGCAGAGCTGCGAGGGAGCTGGCAGGGCCTCCTGGGGCTCAGTGCCTGGGCTCCCTGGCTGACTGGCCCTCAAGTGCTAGAGAGCACCTCCCTGCTCTTCAGAGCACAGGGAGCAACCCTTCAGAATGAGCGGGGCATCTGGTAGAAATGCAGGTTCCTGAGACCTGACTGAGAGCCTCTGGACTGTGGGGACAGGAATCTGCATTTCAAGCTGGACCCCAGTTGCACACTCACGTTTGCAGTCCGAGGCCTTGGTGACTGATACTGCCACATGCAGACAGTGTGCTCGTTGGGGAGCAAGGGATGCTGTTGCCAGACCATTGTTTTTAATTTGTAAGACCTGCACATAATTTTAATGCATTTACTTTTCGTTTACTCCCAAGTTCTCCATTATTTTGGCTCCCAGTTCCTTCTTACATCTGAGAACCTTCTTCCTAAAATCATTTTCTTTTGGGCTGAAATAATACCTTTCTGAATGTTCTAGTAGAGGTGAGAAACTTTGTCTGAAAAGATCTTTATTTCACCCTCATTTTTGAAAGATAGTTTTTCTGGGTATATAATTCCAGGTAGACAGTTTTTGCCTCCTAGCAGTGTTCTGGATAATTTACTTGGATATCTCTCTTTTCTGGTTCTTTTAAAAAATTTTTTAGTTCCTATGTTTTTCATTTCTTTCTTTTTTTTTTTTTTTTAAAGATTTTATTGGGGAATTGGGGGAGGGGGACAGCGCTGGGGAATTGGGTGAAGGGGAACAGACAAGTTGCTGTCCTTTTGCTCCTCAGTCCTGCCGTCGAGGACATCGCCCCACCGGCCCATGTTGGCACCATCATTGCGCTCTTCCCGGGCGAGGCAGACCGGCCGCCGGCCTCTGGACGGCTGCTCACGGTGGCTGCCAGCCACACACGATAGCCCATGGCAACCCACTGCAGTGGGCTGCAGCCTATGCCGTCGCCAGCCACCCACAGCAGCCCAGCTCCAGGTCGAGCTGTTGTTCACCATCTTAGCTGTAGAGGGCAGTGTCACTGGCCCTCACGTGGGATCCAAACCCGGGCCCTGCCACTCAGAGCTGGCGTCCCAAGCCAGCTCCCAACCAACGCGCCACTCGGCCGGCCCTGTTTATATAGTATTTTTTTTTTAAAGATTTTTATTGGGGAATTGGGGGGATGGGAACAGTGCTGGGGAATTGGGGGAAGGGGAACAGACAAGTTGCTGTCCTTTTGTTCTTGTCTAGTTGTGGAGGACGTTGCTTCACTGGCCCAAGTTGGCACCATCATTGCGCTCTTCCCTGGTGAGGCAGATCAGCCGCCGGCTTCTGGACGTGGACGGCCGCTCACTGCGGCTGCTGGCCACTCACGCTGGCTGCTGGCTACATACGGTAGCCCATGGCAACCCACTGCCACAGGGACTGCAGCCAGGGCAGCCCAGCTCCAGGTTGAGCTGTTGTTCAGCATCTTAGCTGTGGAGGGCAGTGTCACTGGCCCTCATATGTGGGATCCGAACCGGGGCCCTCTGGCATCCCAAGCGAGTTCTTAACCATCGCGCCACTCGGCTGGCCCTATATAGTATTTTGATTAGAGCTATAGAGCTTGGTGGAGGTGGAATTCAGTCCTGGGTTTGTTGGACACTTAACAAAACACAAATAAAAACAAAGACAAAAATATTCCACAAACCACAATGGTATTTTGTTCTTTACTTTTGGATATGCCTGGTGACTTTAATGTTTTAGGAAGTCAAGCAAGATAGCACTAATGATCATACTCTTAGAGCATTGTTTGAGCAACTTATGTCTTAGTTAGAAAACTGCAGCTACTCCATTCTGAGTGAAAATTAAAGCTCTGACATGAACTGTGCCACTAGCTCCCCTTCCTCACTGCTGTTCTTTGGGGTGACTTGCCTACTACCTACCCCCACGCCTTTGACTGTGATAGCCTGATTTTGTGGAATGCCTTTTCTACCACATTTGTATGCACACCTGACCTACTTCTCTCAGGTACATTATCTGCCTGGTCACTGTGGGGTGCCTTAGCTTTCCTGTTATGAACAGGAGAGCTCAGGGTCAGATGGGTAAGTATCCTGTATGAGCCCCTGTAGCCAAAACTCACTCAAGCAAGCCTGAGTCAGAAGTGTGTCTAGTACACGGTAGGTACTCAAATTTTTTGTATTAGAGTATTGACCGGAAAAATACTGAGTTCTTATGAGTCCAGGCTTTGTAGAGTCAAGCCCCTGCTACTGTGTGATCTTGGGCAAGTTACAGAAACTCTTTGTGCCTCATTTTTCTTACGGCATATAGTAGCATCTACTTGTAAGAGCAACTACTAGGAACTTTGTAAGAGTAAAAAAATTGCATGAGATAACTGTTGTGAAATGCTGAAAACAATATCCAGCACATGGTGAGTTTTCAGTAAATGGTATTTATATTTTTATAGGATGCTGAAGAATTAATTCTTTCAATTGTTGATTCACTAAATCTGTACTGAGTACTGCTGTGAGCCAGACATTTTTCTGAAGTTTTGGGGTATAGTGATGAATTAAACAGAGAGGTTCCTTTATCTTGTGGAACTTGTATTCTAGTGGGGAAGACAAGTGAATAAAAGAGAAAAAAGTTGATAGATTATGACTAGAGCTCTGGAGAAAGCAAATAGGCTGATGTCACTGAGAGTCACTGTGGACTGAGCTTATGTCGCAGGCAGGTCAGCCTTCCTGCAGACCCCATGATGGGAAGGAGCGAGGCATGTAAGGAGTCTGTTCTGGCATATAGGGAGCTGGAAGAGCAGCGCATCAGTCCTGAGGCAGGAAAACATGGGGCTTGCTTGAAAGGGAAGGGAGGCCGCTGTCTCTGTTATAGTTGGTGATTGGTTGGTGGCTGGTGGTGGCATCAGAGAGTAAGAAGTGCCCAGATTATGCAGGGTCTTCTAGGCCATTGACGGAAGTGTGCGTTTCATCCTAAGGATGGCCGACAGCCTCTGCCCATTTATTTTTGCTATGTAACCCAGTAGCTTTGGGAAACTTCTTTGAGCCTTGGAAATGCTTCTTGTGCCTGAAGGCTGCTTGAGGCTTGGAGAATGGGTCTTTATCATTTAGATTCACACTGATCCTTGATCAACATTCCCTGGTAGTTTGGTAGAAATGCAGCATCTCAGGCCCCACTTCAGAACTACTGGACCAGACTCTTTGAAGGGGACCTGGGAATCTGTATTTTAAAATACTCTCCAAGTTATACTTACGCACAGTTAAGTTTGGTAAACACTCATCTAAGATACATTTGGGCAGATTTCCATAGGAGAGGATTGGAGCTTTCTCCAGGAACCCAGAGGATGCTTCAGCCACTAAGGGTGCCAGCTCACCAGGATTGGGGTGTGGGTGCCAAGGTGAGAAGTCGTCTATGCATGTACAAAACTCTCTGCCCCATAGCCCATCTTTGTTGTTGATGGCAGATCGGCACAGAGTGATTTGTGGTTAAAAAAAAAAATCTTCTTTTTAATCAGGAAGCTTAAAGCAGAAGCTAATATTTTTAGGTTATTTTGAATAAGTATGCTTTACCAAAAATGACAGAGAAGCTAAGAGGTAGAAGGGATTCGGGGAGCATCAATTAATGCCCTGACGTTGCAGCTGAAGATAGTGGAATCCTGAGGTGTAAAATGGCTTTCTTCGAGGTACCCAATTGATTGGTGACAATCCTGGGTCCAGAATTTAGGTTTCTCCAAGTTGACACCTGCACATTACCTAGCGTGATCTCTCTTGATGGAAACATCTTCATGAGTCTTGCGCCTTCTATAATTCATAAACATTTTTAGAATTATTTTGGAGGAAAAAATGATTATGAATACCACTTTTACTAGCTTTGATGTTCGTTATTATTTTAAAATAAGTTAAAGTTATTATTATTTAATACTTTCATGTTTTTTTCATCCTCTGGAAGCAATAATTACTTAATAGGTAATGGTATGGTTAAGAGCTCACTTAAGAGTTTGAGCTCTGAGCAACAGTGGTTCGATTCCCGGTGGCAGGATGGCTCAGCTTAAAAAAAAAAAAATAGGTAATGGTACATTTATCCATGTAAGAATTTGAGTTAAAACAGCTTGTTGTTACCAGAGCACTTTATAATGGGACATGATATTTTTGTAATGCCAAAATATGTAAAATATTTGGCACAAAGGCTGCAGTAAACAATAACCTTTCAGTGCATATATTGAAATAATTTGTAAATGTATCTTTCAAAACAGTATTTCCGGTTCATATTTTACAGCATCACAGTTGATATGTTGACATACTCTCGTCTGAAAGGTGTTTTCCCTACCTCTAGATTCTAGGTCTGTCTTGCTGTTTTCAAGTGTAAGGAAGTGGTGGTTTTAGAAGTTACATCTTAGTTATGTGTAAAAAATATTTTTGTGTTGCAGTGTCCCAGGAGCTTTTGCTGACAATTCCAGTTCCCAAACGAAACATTTGGGCAATGGTGAGGGCTTCGATCCCTTCTCTGATTTGCTGTCAACTATGAATGGGTGGATGTGAAGCCTGCTGGCCAAAAGGGTGAGTGAACATTTATGATTACTCATCTGAAAATTCACAAGACAAAAAGTCAGCTGAAGGGGTCTGACCCAGTGCAGGAAACTGATGAAAGTCTGAAGTGATCAGAACAATTGCACTGAGGGTGAGTGATTCTCATTTCGAAAGGAGACACACACTCTGTCATTGTTTTCTGCTGTAATCTTTTTGAATAACCCCTATATGATCTGAGGATTTATAAAAGGCATAATAGGATGTAGGAGAACTTTTTTTGCTTGCATGTTTCTTTTAACCATACTCTGAAGGGTGGATTATGAGCTACACACACAAGTGAAAGAGGATTGCTTTTTTTGGTCCACTACAATGTGGTTATAAAAGAAGCCACCATGAATAAGACTATAAGGACCTTCTCTTGAGTTTTGGGAGAGTTTAAGTCTGATTTGTTCATTGAGAAGGTCCTGTTCCAAGACTTCCACATAACTAAGGCTCTTGAGAAAGCTAAAGTGTTGGGAACTTCGATGCTCAAAGATTTTTAGAAGGACTTACAGGGCTTTTTTTCTATCATAGTTTACTTCATCAGGTTATTCATTTTAACGTTTAGGGGGAGGTTAGAAAGGACATGATAATCTTTGTTATATATGTTATCCGTATTTGATGGCATCTGCCATGTTCCTCAGAAATCAGTGGCTTCCATGTAGTAATGAATGAACAATTGTGAATTGCTTTTATGAGAGACAGTAATTGGTCTTTTGCATAAAAACTCTGATGTCATTCAGTGGTAGCTTTGTCATAGAATGAGGTCAAATTTATGGGGAACTGTTTGGTTTCAAGTTTTGTACTGAATGGCATTTGATGGTAAGAACCATTGTCATAAGCTCTTCTTGTTTGTCTTAGTGGGGTTATATTTCAGGCAGATTCTAATTAATAATAGAGGGAAGTAAAGTGAAGTAGAAAGAGCACTGTATTGGAAATTGGGAGACCTATTAGCTACCTGACATGGGACAACTTAGTCTCTGTTTCGATTTCCTATTTTTAAAAATAAAGGAATTAGGTTAGAATGTCCTATTTGTCAGGCTAACAGGGCCCTAGAAGGTATCTGTTTAAATCCTCTCATTGTACAAATGTAGCAGCTGAAACCCATGGAGTTTGAGCTGTCAAGTCCCTGGTCTTGGTCAGAATTGGCTCCTGTGCTCCTTGTGTCTTCAATGAATGATTCTTTCTATCTTATCTTAATTACACAGATTGAGAAATTCAGCCCATGCAGTTTAGTAAACCTTTTCTGATAAGTGTCTCTTCTAAGACTTTGTAATGCATTCAGTGATGTGGCCAGATTTTTAAAGATTTTACAGTTAGAGATCATTTCATAGATTAAGAAAAAAAAAGAGAGAGAACCTTAGTGAAGCAGCTAGCCCAAATATCACAGACCAGATGATCCTCAAAGACCCTGTGGGCTCTGAAATTCACTTCCACTTAGGCTAGTTTATCTGACTACTTTGCATTCAGTTCTGCTAGAGCTAGAGGTAGAGGGAAAAAATCTTCTATCTTCCTTACAGCATTCTCTTTCATTGGCAAGAAATAAGGCAAACAGTAACACATAAAGCAAGGATGTCTACAGTGAAAAGAAGTGGTTGATGGAGTCATAGAATTTTAGATCTGTTAGAGATCTTTGATCATCTTACTGGGTGGTCCTGGGCAAGTAAGTCATTTGGGTCCCTCACCTATGAAGTTCTTCTGAGGTTTTTACATTGCTACACAGCTACAACAGACTTTTGTGAATGGTCTGTAGACTAGTGAGCAGATAGCATGCATTATAAAAAATTATATCTTTGGGGATCCAGGTAGAGTTGAGAACAAAGTCTGGGTCTATCTCATATATACACATGAGAATTCATAGAAGTGGTTGGAATTCTGAAGGTATTGAAATAGCAACAAACTCAGGTTTGAGGTTACCTCTCATCTCTGTCTTCAGTATTGAGAGAGTCTGACTCAATCTCACTAACATAAAATTGATGTATGAAATTTAACAAAACCACATGAATGGATTTATTGAAGACTAGGTTGATTTTATTCATTAATCTCGTTGGGTAAGACCTGCTATTCGAAAAATCAATCCAAACTACTATAATGAAAATGTTCTCCTTTGAATTGATAAAATGTACTGTTAGGCCCAGTCAAATACCAGTTTTATATAAATATGGAAGCACTTTGTATTTATCAGATTGTAATAAATGTCCCTTTGCTATATTTTTAGTAGGAAGTGGATGTCCCTGAAATCCAATGAGCCGGAGAGCATGTGTCCTGATGTTCTGTCTTTTTTGGTTTTTCTCAAAGCACACCTTCAAGGTTTGGCTTAAAAGACGAAGCCTTGTCCTCCGTGACGCAATAACCTGACTTTGTGCATTATGTATGTGATAGCTAATTAGTCCTTCCATTGTCAGAAATGTATCCACGGTCCTGTGGCTTGTAGAACTTTACAGTTTGCTGAGTAACCAAAGAAGCCAATGAATTGTTACAACTGATAATTTGGAGTCTTTAGGCTTGGAATAAACTCTCATTCTGAATGAAATAAGTCCTGGTGAGCATCCTCCTGGTAGAACAGGGTCACAGTCACAGGGGTAGACAGCCAGGGCAGCAAATTGCCTCACTCACGTGCAAATAAATGAAACTGTACAATAAAATACTTGCACAGATAGATCGTTATGGCAGAGTTTTTAAGGTCGGAAAATGGAAAATGGACTCAGTTTGTGTTGGTGATAACATGCCTGCATAACAGATAACTCAGGGCCAGGCTACAGAGTGAGATGGGCAAAGCCTTGGCGCCTGTCTTCAGTGATGTGGCTCTGTACCGGTCTCCAGCAGGGAAGCTACGTTGTGTCCCTGGCATCGAGCTATAGTTGATGTTGGTACCTATCGCATGTACATCACAAGACCCACGTGTGAAGAGCGGCGAGGCCTGCTACATGTTTAATAGGCAGTTAGCCACAGTATTATTAATAAATGTGATAATGACAGCCTGGATATGCATAGAGTTTTCCTGAGAAGACTTGTGGTAGATGCCAAAAGTGCTGGCTTCTTTGTCAGCCTTGGTATCGCACTGCCCCATCAATAAATGTCCCTCGCTGGTGGTTGTGGTATAAGAGTGTAAACATCATGTGATATTGTTTTATCACCACTTGTTTTTCCTTGTTTGCCCACAGTTCCTCTTTTGATCTCTCCCATAATCAAATTTCTAGCATTTGACCTACTAGGAAGGGGTGATAATGGGGAAAATAATTCTTCTCACTTATAATGGGCTACTTTTTGGCTTGGAGGTCCTTGCTTTTTTATAAAACTCAAGTGTGTGGATTTCTTTTTCTTTTTCTTTCTTTTTTTTGTCATTGGTTTTGGGGTGGGGTGGTGGTGGTGGTGGTGGTATAGCTTCCAGGAAGAGGTGGGGGTAGGTAGCAGGGTTTTAGGGACAGGAAAGCTGGCCAATGGGTTCCCTTCTCACAGATCTGCCTTCTGTTAGAGCTATCAGTGGGCCAAGTCACTTTGTTGTGCTGAAACTTTCAGTCCCTGAAATTTTGACTTTGAAAAGTAATTTTAACAATTTAATAAACTACATAATATGTTTTATAAGCTGGAGCGAATGATCTTAAGTATTTTGGTCTCTTTCATAACACAATGAACCTAATATTGGTAAAAATACAGATCTTCACTCACCCATAAAGAGAGGCTAGATTTAATAAGCAGTTATGAGTGCTGGCAGCTGCCTATCAGATTGTATAACTTGGGCTCCAGCTTGCGAAGACAGTGTCAACTTACATTTTATCTCTGAAGTATTTTTGAGGCGTTTATTTTGCCTTTCTCTCCAGTCCCTAACGTAATAGAAGTAATGTAATTGGCTGAATATTTTCCACATAACTAATTGGCTAGCGGCCACGGTGGAAACCATTGTGTGGCTTGATGAAGATCAGAAATTAACATGACATTTACGTGGAGGTAATGGAATATATTAATAATATAGTAATTCAGGATGGTGGGAGCAAGAGTGTCCGTTCTTTCCCCGCCCGTAATCAGCCACTCTGAAGATGATGAGAGAACCTCCAGTCCCCTGTTCCTCACAGCAGTGGCCAGCCAATCCCTATGTCAAGTTGTACTTTTAAATTCTTCAGACAGAGCTGTAAAACAAACTAATGAGTTACTTCAATTGTCAATTAAAAAAGAAAATCCACCAACTACTATTATAAGATTAAATTCCAATTAAAAGATTGCATTTAATTCAGAAGCTATAACGCTGTTTTAATGAATTCTGTTGGAGGTGACAGTTTATGTGAGATAAATTGATATGCTGTAGGTAGATATAAATTCATTGGATAATGTTAAACATATTACTTCATATATATTAGCTGTGAAATTTATTTCTTCTCTAGTTATGTCCCCAAGGAGGTAGAGTCAGAGGAAAAAACATATCTTCAAAGAAAGAACCCTTTCTGTCCTTTCAGATACTTGCTCTAAAACAGTCTTTTCTCACTTTTATTAAAAAAAAATTGTTAAATTTCTGCATTAACTGAATTTATGATTCTTGGTGTATGCTATTTATAAAATTGAATATAGGTTTTATGATATAGGAAATTAATCTAGGAATGAGAATATGATCCAATTTTGTAATAAAGGTAATCTGCATTTATATTGCAGATATTTTCCATTCCTCTCTAAGTCCCTTATGAGATTATATACACATTTATCTGGACATATAATATAAGTTCACTGTACAGTAAACTTTTAATGTATTGGACAGGCTTTTGTTCCCATGACATCTACACAAAGCATCAAACCCTTTGCTTAAATCAAGGGTGGCTAACATTCTTAACACATTTTTGGTCATCCCCCTGCTCTAGCCCATTCCTGTGGCCCTGGCAGACATCACTAATTGATCACATCCTCTTTTCTGCTGAGTGTGGTTGTGACCTCAGAATTATTCCACTTAAATTCATGTAGGCAAGCTTCCAAATACAGCATTTCCATGAGTATGGGCAAAATCA